ATGGGAGTGGACCAATGGTAGCACGTGGGCGAGAGAGAGAGAGAGAAAGTAGAGAGAGAAAGGTTGAGTTTGGTTGGATGTTAAATTATATCTTACGTGTACCATAGATGAAATTGGGATATGGAATAATTTGAGAACTAAATTTATTTATTGTTTTATTAAGATATATTTGTCTAATGCCCATTACAGCATTACTGTAACATTTAAATTCATCTCACTCTAGACCTTCTGCAACTGATACATCGTAGTTTGTTAACTAAACGGACATCAGACTGACATAAGCATAGTTTTGCACCTGAGGAACATTGCACTATACATAGTTTCTCTCACAGAAAAATAGACTGATATTTACAGCCAGTGCTATAGATAGCGCCATTATATACAGAATGTATTGCACTACTAATGCTGATGTAAAACCACTGGATGTTGTTATTAATTCTCACCGTACCTTTTCTTGAGTTCCAGTCTATAGTCGTCACATGCTTTACCTGGAAAAGTAAAACGAAGTGTATGTGTGTAAGCATTTTTTGTGAATTTTTACATTTTAAGCTATAAATACGTCAAAATTTGCCAACGTCAAAAATTCCAACAGATTTTCCAAGTTAATATTTAATTCTTTCTAAATCAGATAAAACCCGTTAATTAGCCATCCGGTTAATCCACATAATCGGCCCCCGGATACTGAAACGCCTTCTCTTAATTCCAGTTAACAAAAATTACTGTTATATATTGTAGTATATGTATACTTGCGGTACTAGGAATAAATATAAATATAGTGTATATTATTACTCTGACTGTTTTATTTATTTATTTATTTATTTAGTGTTCTGTCTGACGACAGGTCCATATGAACAGGATCCTTCCATCCTTTTCTCGGACTGGGACCTGTTCATATACGTTCTTGGCAGATGATCCAGAAGTGGTTTGCCATTGCCTTCTTCTGTGTGTGAATGGAGTAATTGTTGGGATGCCACGGAGGAAAACTCCGTGTTGCCTAGACCACGGCCTTGCCCAACACAAGTTATAAATTCGGGCACCGCCGGGAATCGAACCCGAGACCCCCAGGATTACAAGGCCAGCGTTCTAACCGCTAGACTACCGTGGCGGATACTCTGACTGTACTGCCAAATATATTCCTTAATTTTAAGTCACTTTCTTAAGTTTTCGCCAAATGTTCTCCTGGGTATGAAGACTGTTCAGAAGACTTTATTGTTATGGTGACCTTATTACTTCTCGGATATTGATTGCTCTATTAATGTGATATGTTGAACCAATTACACATCCTTTCCCTGCCTCCACACGGTTTCTTAAATGGTAAGGCAGAGCTTATGTAAGTTGTTGTTCAGGAGCAACGGAGTTACCGCCAAAATATAAGCGCGTTAACCCAACTTTTGTTACATAACAATCTAAACCATACTATTTGAACCATATCAAAGGATCTGAAGTATTCAAGAAATATGATCGTACACGTAATTTCTTATCGACTGCAGACGATTTATTAAAACGTAATAAAATATATTTACAATTCTGTCCAAAAACGTTCATATATATCTATTATTCAATAAACTATATACAGTAACACATTCATTGATTCGTCATCCCTACCGACTGCTCAATTATAATTATGTAAATTTTGAGCAGAAAGTGTTTTATCACCATGCAGATTGATACAATATTGTGACATAACCTTGAAACCTAGCAGTGTATTGATATATAACGTTCAGTGTGGTATTACATAAAGCATAGTTTTGTAAAGTACAACCTTTTATGCTTTATAACAAATCATCGTTTTACATACGTAGCACTATTAGCACTACTGCTTACTACAACTATTCACTAATGCTACTCTACATGACTATTCCTTAATCCCTAATACTATTTACATAACTCTTTCTTATTGTTCTCGTGCCTTCTACCCCAGTGGCAGTTCTAAATTCCTAATTTTGACCTGTCTTTTACATCTTACTTTGTACAGAAATTTCCCTACATCCCTGACCTCCGTGTCATTCGTAGTGCTTAAAATTTTCTTGAAGGCCAACTCTTCACCAACGGTGAACCACTTGTTCCTCAGGAGCTGTTCCCTCCACCTCCCAGTTTCCGTACACTTTAATAGTATGTGAATCTCGCTTTCTGTCGCCCCACATAAAGGGCATATTTTTTCCTCCATGCCCCCCCTCATCCCTCTCAGCTTCCAAATACCCGCTCTGAACCATGCCCATCCCTCTCTCTCCACCCTCGTACAGCAACCAATGTAGCCCTAAAACCTGGTGTTAGGCGGCCACAGATCTCTGTATATAGTTCTAAACCAAATATATTATTATTATTATTATTATTATTATTATTAAATCATCGTTTTATGAATTGTATGATTTATTATTAATTAATTTGTTTGTCACTGATGATAACCTGTTGAGGTCGAAAGGATTTTGGCACTAAGTGTCTTTACAAATGTAAATAGTTTTGTTTGAATACATGATTTTAGATATTATGACATGTAAATATGAACCAGGAAACTGTTCGACTAGCCACAGAACGCGAAGTCCTGGTAAATCATTTTATTTTGAGTTCCATTGATTTTACTTTTAGCAACAGATGTTTTTCTTTGTAATGAAATTTTACTTATGTCAGAACAGTACTGATATGTTTGTGTCCTGTCGTTCGTAAAAGGCCGATCCCATATTGAGATGGTAACTCAAAACCCCTTACATACCACGCGTTAATATACGCAAGTTTTGTGTGGAATACAATTACATAAACATCCACCGAAAGCCATGCTTCAAAATAGAAAAAATGTGAGTTTTACAGAGTGATATACCATTTAGGTAAGAACATTATTTGCAAGATCAGCAGCATACAAAATACTGTGTTTTCAGCATAGACAGCTCTGATTGGCGTTGTACGTAGTTCGAAAATTGCCTACTCCATATTCTTACAAAGGTCAATACGACACAGGGGATATAGACCTACACAAGTGAAGACAATTTCAAAACACCTTTAATATAATTTTCTATGTACTTCATCAATAAATAGTTCACAACTTTAAAGAGGCTATGTGAAACATAAAATAATCTTTGGCTCACGTATTTTTTCTCATTCCGAATTAAAAACGTTAAACCAAATTTGTTCTTATACCTACAATAAATTGCCCTATGTTATGTTTTATCCGACATTTGTTTAGGAACGTTTATGTTGCATTTACTCCTAAAACGTCTGACTTAAACTGAAGGTGTGTTTAAAAACATCCGTCTCTTATATATATATATATTTGAAATTACAAATTTTTTTACGCTATAAGAAATTTGGAAACTAAAATAAATGAAATTAATTTATGTCACGATAATTTTGTCAAGATAATGACATAAATTTGATAACTGCTCAAATAATTACAATTTAATTTAAAACAAACCAGGAATTTAAAAATTTATAATTAATAGAACAGTCAGTTGTAAAATTGGATCTGCTGAAACGGGATATTACGGTACGAACAGACGGAAATAGTTTCATGTGACAAGTAGAAAATAGAGAAATGCAAAGAGATTTTAAATCATATTGTAAGCAACAGAACAAAACTGCGAATTTTAAAAAGAGGACATATGTTGTATAAGAAAAACGGAGATTGGTCGACTGAAATACTGTTTCTCACGAAATTATCATGAAAGTCCATAAATTGGAAAAGAATGTAGAAGAATCTAAATTAATGTATTTCTACTTACTCTTTCGTTGCAGATTCTCTGGACAATGCTGAAAAAACATAGAAACATTTAATGACTCATACACTGCAAACCATATCTGTTCAAACTATAATAGTGCCTGTTTGTGTTTAGGGAAGAAGGTGTTTCAGAACAGGGTGCTTAGGAAAATATTTGGATCTAAGATAAATGCAGCGATAAGGGGCCAGAGAAAGCTATATAACGAGTTCTTTTCTGTTACCAAAAAATATTTATGTGGTCAAATCAAGGATGAAATGTATCTAGGCATCTTGAATGTGGTAGAAGTGAAATCCTTAAAAATATCTGATCGCCTGAAATGATGGGATTCTTTCAAAATATATAAGCGTAAATGGAAGGATAATATTAAATAAATCGCATTATAATATGGTGAAGTGTGTATTTAATCAATTTAGCGCTGATTTCGGACTGGTGTCGTGCTTTTGTTAACACGGTAATGAAACTATTGTTTCCGTATATGGTGTACTTTATCGAGATGATTTCACTGCACTGTAATATTAAATTGTTTTTGGACAAATCTGTTAGCAAAACCATTGGCTACGGGCTGACTGACCTTTAAGATCATTTTCAGTATAATTTTAAAAAAAAGGGTAAAAATCTCCCTCAGCCAGAGATTCCGCATTTCAGAGATATTGCAACATTTTACCTTGAAGATTTTATTCCTCTGACTTCTACAGAGCATTTCTGTACCAATGTTGATTGGAACGTTCTGACTCCTCGTGATGACCTCAAGCTCATTTATAGAATTTTTAATGGAGGAGCCCTGTTCTGATGCAGGATATGTTAAATGAGAAAAGTTTTGTAATCGGGAAGACATATCTTTTTAATGTTATAAAATTAGTCAACTTTCCGTCAAACCTATGCATTACGTGATATTTGTTGATTTTAAAAAAAAGACAGCCTAAATTCTCAGTAACTTCTGTTTCTTACCACACTACAGACACCAGTACTGGTCAGCCTTCTTGTTTCAATCGACCAGATCATACCACCATTTATGTATGTATATATTACGCCCACAGCATAAGCAATTCACTACATGACTGCTAAACGTCATAACCCATAAGATCATGCTGTCACATGTGATATATCTCATAGTTTTATTTTTATTTTTTTATAAAAACTGATAGTTTCATGTTTCAATATGCATCTGTTATTTACCGAATTTAGTTAAGGCAATTTACAAAAATAAGATAACTTACCATGTCAGCCATGTAAGATACACAAAATTTGAAATTCATAGCATCTTCCTTACAAATATGGAACTTGTCTGGATTTGGTGGTACTGAAAATAAAATACAAATTGTGTTAAAATTTGTATCTTATATGCGTCATGTTTGTGTTTGATTAAATATATTTATTTTGTACAGTCTATACACAAATGTTTGAAGTTTATTGGTGTTGTAAAAACAGAACTACGGATCATTATAATATATTGCATCAAATATCTAATAGTTTTTAAAATATTTTAAATTAATAAAAACCTGAAGACGACGGTATTACCCGTCGAAACATGTCGTTTTAATAAAAGCGCTAAAAAATATAATGTAAAATCGTATTTACGATTAAGAGCGCTAATATAATATTTTACACAATAAAATGTTTTAATATTATATAATTTTTACAACACCAATAAACTTCAAACGTTTGTGTATAGACTGTACAAAATAAATATATTTAGTGTTAAAATTTGTTACAATATTTTTCAGATTAGATAGCAGAATAAAGTAGTATCAAAGCCTGGAATTGTAAGTAACGTTAAATGTCCGGAAACTGTAAATAGTTGCCCTGACACTAATGCATATCGTGAACATAATTTAGGAAATAATCCAACTGGTTCAGATATTATTCGTTTTTTACACGAACGTGTTACGGTCTGGTCCTATCTGTCCGCCCGTCTGTCCATTCGATTCAACTGAAGAACCACTAGACTGAATGGAATTTGATTTGGGGTTTGCCTCATTCCGCACGACTTCAAACACATTTTTGATTATCGTACGAGCGGTCATAACATAATGATGAATGTGTTCACCACGTTGACATTGAGGTGCTCCGATCTAGTGGCCATATTGGGAATTTTATTTTATAATAGTTGCCTTGATTACCATTGGCAACCATGGTATGCGTTCTTTTTATGTTATCACAGTTACTATGGTAATCGAGGTTAGTACTGGTAAAAATGGGAATCGGCCGAAAGTGTTCATTTATGTTAAGGTTATTTTAATTGGGACAGGTTAGGTTACAACATGATATTTTATATTAAGTTATTTTAAGTCAGATCTGTTAGGGTAAATGAAGGCATATCATGTCAAGCTAAGTATGTTTAGTTTCGGTTATTTAAATATGAATTTTAAATGTTGGAATTCGAATGTGGGAATTACAAAATTTTTAAGTCTGCATTTGGAAATTTCGAAAAGAATTGAAAATTACAAAATATTAATTTTGAATGTTTAGAAAATTTTAAATTTTTAATATTTGTGTATTTCTTTTCGCGTATCTAATACCTTTAAATGAACGTTACGTTTGTCTCTTTTGGGACGTATTTGGTTAGATTAAGTTATGTGAGGTTGGGTTAAGGATGTTTTGGTTAGGATAGATGTTTATATATAAATTGTAAACTGTCGGGTTTTCGAGTGTGTATATTACGAAATTCTTAATTCTGTTCTTTTTAAATTTCGAAAAAAGAAAAATTAAAAATGTGAGTGTTTTGTAAATTTGAAACATATAGGAATGTATAAACTTTCAAAACCCAAAAATTTATTTCCCTGTACAAGGCGGATATAATGTCTTTAAATGTACGCTGCAATGAACGCATGGGAATAATATGTGTATTCCGGTAAGGATTATGCCTTCCTAGCTTGTTACTATACTACAAACACAGCAATAACTTTGCCAGAGGTAAAATGTCCTTCCTATAGTCGGTTTGAAGAATGCAAATTTACGCTTCTCGTTTGGGGGAGGGGATTCATTGTAAAGTTAGGCCTAAGTTGATACGTTGTATAGGAGATTTAAGTTTGCTATAGCCACTCAGCCGATCATTCTGTTAACGCAAATTATACTATGAAAAACACTGACTAACAGATACTATGCGATGACGTAATAACAAGTAACATTTCTGAAGCGCCACCAGTTACGAAAAGTATATGTAAAGCAAGTATAACATGAAAAGGAGAGGATTTGAAGGAAGTGGTCGTGACCTAATTCAAGGCACTATCCCGGTAATTTTTTTTGAGAGACTAAGGAATATATATGGGCCGAGATTTGAATCTGGACGAAGCAGTGCTAACTGATCGACCACGACGTTGTAACAATTATATTAAAATTTGTATTACACATGTTTATATTGTTTTTGTTATAAATTCCACCTTAGAAATCAGCCAACATTCTTACCTTGTAGGACTGTACATTTTATATGTTGACCTGTTAACAGAAAATCAGTTATCGAATTCGTAGCAGTGCATTATGACTTAACAGTGCTGTAATGTATACAAATACCAATGTTTGGAATATAATTTAATTAAAGTTTAAGTTTTATATTTCGACTGCCATTTCTTCTAACATACATTTCAAAGTTTCAAAACTTCTGTCGAAATTCTGCGAAAGATATTTTAGCCGGATAAGTTGATTCTTCTTTCAAGACACAATTACCTTTCGTGCATATTCTCTCCACTGCAGTCCAGAACTTCTCGTCGGTGAAAGGAATCGCTGATTTCATTAATTTAATGGCTTCGGCAGCAATAATATTGCCTTCAGAATCTGCCTGTAAAAGAACACACTGGAGATATGGTATCGTATGTACAAACTTAATATTCATTTGTTTCCTTGTTTTGAATTTCGTTAGCCTACTACTTGTAAAATTACCGTTAACTGAAACATTTTCACTGAGAGGATACGAAGTAGAAATACAATTACAAGTATAACAAAATCGAATTAGATTGATAAGACTGAAAATGAAAATTTCAATTTCATTTTGAAGAAGACGTGGTCATACTACAATAGACCTGACTATATTACATTTTATTATTATTATTTAGTGTTCTGTCGGACGACAGGTCCATATGAACAGGATCCTTCCATCCTTTTCTCAGATTGGGACCTGTTCATATACGTTCTTGGCAGATGATCCAGAAGTGGTTTGCCATTGCCTTCTTCTGTGTGTGAATGGAGTAATTGTTGGGATGCCACCGAGGAAAACTCCGTGTTGCCTAGACCACGGCCTTGCCCAACACAAGTTATAAATTCGGGCACCGCCGGGAATCGAACCCGAGACCCCAGGATTACAAGGCCAGCGTTCTAATCGCTTAAATTTTTAACGTGATGGATGGTATTTTAATTCTAGTCAGATGTCTTACATTCGATTTTTTTAATATGTATGACAAAGTGTAATCGGATGGAAAGTTAACAAATTTCTGATAGCCAAAACGTCTACTCGATAAAATAATTTTTGTCTACGTTGTTTTAGTGATCTTAAACCACAAGGTGAGGTGCTCGCATTATGAACAGTGTCTTACTTTACTACAGTCGTAGAAATGTATGAAATTAATGTAATTCCATTTACGTTTATTTAAATTTTGCAATGTTCAAACCAGACTTAAAACTAATATTCTAGATTATCACGGCAATGAACACGAAGATGGCTGTCTTCTGGGTTGTAACGCCGTGTAGTTTAGCACAAATTTAGAAACGTTTCACATGGCTATTCTAAAAATATATTTGTATGGAGTAAGAAGACAATTGAAAATGTTGGTAGATACATCTTTAAGACTACTTAAGCTTTTGTATAACTTACCGCATTCGCCTTTTGTAGATAGCACTGAGGATAACACTGCAAAGAAATAAAAACGTCTGCTGAAGTAGAATAGTAAAACGTCTTTAGATTACAGTACAAGTGTTTCTCGCAGTAGCTGCGTATATTTGATTAGTCTCTCTTCAGTGCCTTCCTGACTCAGGCATAACATACAACCCATGGTTATCATGCTGTTTTAATTTACGAATGTAATTGTGCCACTATTAATGTGATATAGAACAGATCTTGGAAACTATCCTTTGCATTTACGGTACTACACATCATTATGAGAAAATGACGTAGAAAATAAAATACTGCTTATATTTTTGTGTAATTCACAGACACAAGCATTTTTAAAGAGGTTTTGACAGTCCCAGTCATAGGACGTGGGCGTGAATAATGAGTTTTAAATATAGCATTCTTGCTCTCTTGATCCTGGTTTATATATGTTTCTAATTCTCTCTTTCACTATGTCACACGACATTGGTGTTGAGCCATCTGCCATTTCTGCACTAATAAAAGCCAAATTACACAATAAAATCTTCTTGGGCGTTCAGACGCGTCGAACGATTAAAAAATTAAATCGACGTTTCAGGGACCGTCTCTGTCCCCATCATCAGAACCCTGAAACGTCGGTTTTATTATTTAATCATTTGACGCGGCTGATCGTCCGAGAAGATTATATTGAGTTAGGTCTCCGTGAAAACTTCAAATCATATAAAGCCCAATTAATTCTTGCAAAACAATGTCTTCCGTCAAGGATGTTAGATCATTTTTCTCCAATCATTAGAACAAAAACAATCTAACGTCATTGATGGAAGATAAAAATTCGCAAAAATAATACCTTGGAGCACTTTAGAGTTCAGTGAGATCCAAGACAGCATTTTTGCACAACAGTTGCTTCAAACAATTGCATCTATTTGATCACATTTTTCTACCATGGTCATAACCCATTATTGCACAATATTGGACGTTCTAGGTATCACTTTTCTCAAAATTGGATCTTAACAACGGAAAGCCGGAACCCAAAAATACACGACAAACCTGTACAGTCTTCTTCACTTACGCCAGCGTGTGAATTTCACTTCTGAATGCCAAACCTGTAAATGTTGCATGAACAATACTTTTGATGGTGATTAATGAGTTATTGTCTGCGTAGATTCAAATTTAATGTCAGTGGGCGTTAAATTTAATTTATTTAATGATTTATTTGACATGCGATGTAATATTCGCTAGTAATGTAGAACATTCTAGAAACTGATAAAAAGAAAATAGTTGAAAATTTCTAAGTTCATTCACGCTGATTTTGCGTCATTATCAGATCTTATCCTAATCTGAAGCAAAAAGAAATTCCAGCGATATATTATTTATCGTTTATGTAGAATTATTCCGTAATCCAACAAACTCGATAAGCTATATGTAAAAAAAAATAAAATTCTCACTACTGATTGGACAAATGTGAACGAAATATCTGTTAAATGCCTGAGTAAATAATTTTGTGTTTTTTTCCCACACGAAAAGGCATCTGGGTTTGAGAATTAACAAATTCTCATCTATGTGTTAAATGTAGGATCCGAACAGTATAATGTTACGACTGTCGGTGAAATATCATTTCCAAAAATTCTGCAGAAGAATATCTGAAATAAAAGAAATTCTGTCGTCCATTGCATAGTCCAGTGTCTCGATAACTCACGTCAAAACCTTGTTCGTAGGGACGTTTGCCGCTGTCAATTTAACACGTGTCTGAATATACATCCTTAGATTCTAAGAAATTCCAAACAGAGAGCAATTAATATTCTCAATTAACGACCAGAAATAGACTGTGACAGAATAAATAAAAAATTCGAAATTTTATTCAACTAAATTTGTCTTCCATTTGGTATTCAATTGTTTAATAAGTACCGTATCATTTGAAATATACTTACCAGTGATCTGTTTCTGAAGATATTCATTTCTTGTTCAGTAAAAATTTCTCTCCCGTTATCTGTAGTAGTCTCTGGTTCTTTGAGAGATAAACAATAAACAACGTTAAAATTAGCTGCATGAAACTAAGTTCTTCTTGAGAAGTTAATAGTTGTACATCTAGTTAAAAATTTCCACTTTCATTTATCCAGGATATTCGTTACCATCTTCACAAAATTCCGCCTCTGGAATCTATTCTGATAAGATGAACCCAACCCATATTCTTATATTAAACTTTGTTAATGTCCATATTAAATATCCTTTCTTCATTTAGGTCTTTAAATGACAAAAATGAAATGGTTTGTCTGTGATACATGAAAATTTATAGCCAATGTTAAATGTATGGCTAGTCGCCACCTCATGTGGCGTCGTCAGGTTTGCGGATGTAGGAGAAGGCCTCCGGATACGAATTGAAACAACGGATATATTCAATAAGCAGTTGTTTACAGTCGAAATGGGTCGACCATCCAGTTTTTGCGGTGTGCGGGGCACCAAAAGAATTTACAATGTAAAGAAAAATCATGTTACAAAATGTTCCATGAGGCCTCAATTAATTCCCTCATATTTTGTTAGGGGTGTACATGCAAATATGAAAATATATTTTAAAAGTGACAACTGGGACTGTAGGTTTACAAGAAACTATAATGGGGTAGTTGTCGTATATAAACGAAGAGAAAAGTGTTTTTACATTGAAAGATTTAATCCTGATAAGATATTGTAGATGCGTCATATTGTGATTAATTTAAATAGTATTAAAAATATATTAAAATTGGCCGTCAATCACAATATAAGATAATTAAAAGATTAAACAACCCCATTTTTAATGCACTCCAGTACCTTGACCTCAACCCTGACAAACCACCTTTCACCCACTGCACCACAGTCGGTAACCAGCCACGATCCGATACAGTATAACTCCAATCTCTCCTAATACTGCTACGATATTACTTCTCGGGTAAGTTTACATGATTACTTTCAGCTATTTATTTTGTTTTCTATATTCAATTTTCATTAATAATATTGAAACCTTTACTTCACAGTCCAATATACACAACATTGGCATCACTACGAAAAATGTTCCACATGTAAATCGAGTACTCGATACGGAACGTAAAATGATATTTTAATCTTTTAATTATCTTATATTGTGATTGACGGCCAATTTTAATATATTTTTAATACTATTTAATCCTGATGTAAAAACACAATACGTTTCTTGACGTCTTCGTTATAAGAATACGGCGAACATTATATACTGTGTTATGGGATGTTGTGCTGTGTAATAAAGTATAAATGACCATCGCTTTTAGTACGAAATTAAGAGCAGATTAAATTCGACGAATGCTAGCTACCGTGCAGTTCAGTACCTTTGGTTTTCCCTTCGCTATCTAGAACAATAAAAACTAAAATTATATATAATATTTCCGGCTTATTTGTACAGGTGTTAAACCCGGTTTCTCGTGCTGGACGTTCGAGATATTTGAGAATAGTGTGTTTAGTAGAATATTCGTGTCCGAGAGTAATAAATTAACAGGAAGTTATAAAAAGTATAAAAATATGGAACTTCATAATTTTTACTTTCACTAAGCACTAAGAGGATGATCATTTTAAGGAGAAGTTTGTGGGCAGGACATGTAGCACGCATGATGCCGATGAGAAACAGGTATAAACATTTGATTGGAAAGCTTGAAGATAAGTGACCAATCAGGGGTTAGATTGTAACGCTAAAATGGCAGAATAATAGGTTTGGATAGTAGATCGGGCTTTTCTGAATAAGCATAGGGATCCGTGTTAGGCTGTTGTGAACGCGGTAGTGATTCCATAAAATAAGGTAGTTTCTCGAATAGCTTAGCGACTGCTAGCTTCTTAAAAAGGGCTCTGCTTTACAGATGTAGATAGAAGGTAAATAGAAGTAGTGAGATTAAACCGAGCTTTCTTCCTGGATTTTTAAATTAAAATCATTGGCCATCGCCAGGTGTCGCCCTGTGCACCTTCCAGTCGGATCGGCTGCTCCAACCGGGATTCGAAACACGCTCATTACTAAAAGAGCTATACCCGCTCATACACGCATAGTTATTATAAATTTATCGCACTCATTGGATAAAACTTAGGATTTTTCTAGTGTGATACTGTTTATTTGAAGTTGGCGGGTCATCTTCTCTTCTGGAATTATTAACAAAGTAATTCTGTCTACATAAACATGAGATGGTAAAGTTGCGTCATATTGTGATATAATAAATATATATGTTGTTTAAATCTTGTCCGTCTAATCACAATAAATTCTTATTAAATATTAAAATATTACAATAATAAACATTTAAAATATTAAATGATGTTCTTTATCGAAATATTCGATTTACATTA